AAATTTGGCTTTGTAAATTGTTTACCAATAGTAAAAGCTAGAGTCCAGTGAAATCTGGTAAAGTCTGATTTCATTCCAGGCAGCAGTAGACTGCTTAGGCTTAAAGATGTTCTATTATCAGCTGTGTGACTCTGGGAAAGTTATTGAAGCTCTGTTTCCTGTTAAATTAAAAAGAGTAGGCCTTCTTTCATACAGTTGTGTTATCATTAAATAAGATAATTTACATGAAGTAAGTGCTATCTAAGTGCATACACTTATCATTTTCCATCCCTATATTATTATCTCATCAGAGGAGCTAGGTATGAGTTTGCCATGGTATCAGTGGTAATTGTAGGTCTGGTAAATTCTTCCAATAGGAGTAGGCTCCTGATAACACCTAGGGATGTGGAGGTCTAATCCAACAAATTGTGAGAAAGAAGAAGAAGGAAGAGAGGAGTTCAGTTCCAATAGAGAATGAAAGTACAATTCAGGAAATGGAAAAAAAGGTGTCTCCTCCCAACCATTTCACATTTTTTTCCCAGAATAGGCCAGCTAAGGAAGGGTCAAAGGAAAAACTGAGCACAAAGTACAGTCATCCTGTGTTCAATCCTTGGCATGTCCAATCCAGTACTTAATACTGATGGCACATTCTAGACCTGACAGAATATAAAGGTGGTAACACCAATATTTCACCTCTCTTGTCAGAATCAGGATATGGTCTGATTGGGGCTCATCCTAATGGTGGCCCTCTGTATGAACTGTGAAACTAAAAAATGTCTGTTAACAAGGTGTCTTGTAGCAGTTTAAGTCAGCTGATATACCTTGAGGTTCTGAGATCTCTATCTCTCACAGTGAACTCTCTCTCTCACCACACACACACACACACACACACACACACACAAACATACACAAGCACACACACACATACATATACACATGTGCATGTGAATATGTTATCAACATGCTCTGTCTGAGCCTAGGGTCTTTGTCTCAGAATTTCAGAGACTCAGAATCATGGACAACAAAGCAAGTAAAGTGGGACAGTTTATTGAGATAGAAAAATAGCAGAGAGTATAGCCCCCAGAGAGGGTTGACACTGGTTGGTCTTTGTCCCAGAGATTTACTGGAATGATCTGGTCACATCCATCCCATTCTTCTAGATGGAGAAGAGGGTTTCATATCACGTAGCTTCCACACCTTGTTTTGCACTGGAACCCAAATGTTCTGTGCATGCTGTTCTGTGTGTGCTCACCCAAGGCTGCATTTATTCTACCTTTCTAATCTATTTCACATGCACATACAATGGAGTCATTTTAAAACTTGGTGGCTTCTCTTCTGTTTCAAATGATAATGCCATGTCATATAAGAGTCATTTTTAGGGCCTATGCCCTTGTAAATGAGTAAAAGTTTTCTTGCTCACTAAAGGTAAACTGAAGGTCCCAGGCCTTTAAAGCTGCTCATATTTTATTCTTGCCATATTTTGCCTCCTATAACTTGGCCTACTGACAACTGCCAGGTCAGTTGAACAATCCCTAACACTACAAATCTCCCTCTTCATGTTACTGCTGTATCTAGATCACTTGGTTCTCTCCTATTCTGTGTTACTTTTTGAAAGTGTAGGTACAAGACTGGATACAGTCTTTTGATCTTCCTCTTGATTAGACTGCAGTTTTAGGTGTAAGTTTCCCACAGGATACACCTTGGCTGCCCATCCACTATACTCCCTTGCCAATGACCTACCTGAGGAGGCTTCTTCAGAAGGCCTGAGACTACATGCTCACTATGTCAGAGGCATTGCCCAGATCTGGCATTAGCAAATATCAAGCATCGATGAATTTTTTTTGAAAATGCATATTCATTATGTCAGATTCTTTATTAATTAGATACTCTTGGTGACAAACAACAAAAGTTTACCTTTTATTAATATAAGCAAAATTACTGATGTAATCTAAGAATATTTGGGTATCCCATGAAACCCAAGAACAGAAAGGTAGCTGAATTTCTTGAATAACTTTATATGATAATTTAAATTTTATCAGTATTCTCTCTACTTGCTTCTCTGTGATTGGCTTTACTCTTCTTTCTTGCTGTAAACTGACTTTCTCCACGTGGAGAAGAATGTAATATAAAAGGAAAACCACTTTCTCTTATTGTTTGGGTCACCCAAGAAAGATTGTTTCCTTAATTCTTTATAGTTTCAGAAATGCCTGCCTAGATTTACACAAAGGCAAGCCTTAAAGTCTCTGATTAAAAGGAGATTTTTCTTTTTCTAATTTGTCGTCTGTTCCCAGTGAATAGACTAAGCACATTGAAGAGGGAGGTTGGAATCTGCTGAGCCACCAGTTTGATTTAGGGGTTCAATTAAAGTGGATATCTACTGAAGAGAGAGAACATATATATGTGGAGCAGTGTGCAATGTGAAGACATAACTGGAAGAAACTATCAAAGTAACTAGGAAATTCATTTTTAAGACTCAGAAACCAAACTAGACTGACCTTTTATGATTGCAAAAGTAAACAGAAGCAGGAGCCTGCCTCAATTAAGGACAGATCCCACCACATTGGATTTTTATTCTCTGCCAATATATGTGCCATAGAGCAGCTAAAATAAGGCACGAAACTTCCATTGTTAAAAGTCTAGAGAGGTCTGAGTTCTGCAGCAGAGCAATGGGAGAATCTTTAGAGACCCTGTCATAGAACCACAGTGGGGTGGCATGTTTTTCATAAGAGCCCATCATGGCATCTCCTTGGCATCCACACCAGGGACTGCCAATGTCAAGTACATGTGATTGCATGTGTGTTCATACAATCCACTGCTGTTCATGCATTTTATTGACTTTTAGAGAATGTAAGTATTATTTGTGGCTTCTGAATGTTTTTAATACTGAAGGGGATCAGTAAGCTTCCACATAACCTAGATTCTACATAACCTAGATCTTATACTTATAGACTCAAACACCACATACCTCACTTATGAAAGTATTAGTTAGTGTTTTATAAAATCTGTGTTTAGATGATGAGATAATATTGATGAGATAAAGAAAGAAGTTGATATTGAATATTGAAAAAATAGTCTGTTGGAAAAATAAGAGACTTTGGGGTTATCTTTAAATTGTTCCACAAAGTTTATAAATATATGTTACTTTAATTTATACCCTCATCTATACTTTACAATATTCCAAAATTTACATGAGCCAATAATTCCTTAGATCTATGGAGTTTCTTTGCATACTTCTAAAGAAGTACTCAGTCTTTGTCAGTTCTTAAACATAGAGTCTTATTGGAATGATGAAATTTACTTGTAGGAAATGGAAATTAGCACAAAAGTTTTAAATAGCATTATATAGGGAGTGGGCTTATGTACAAAATTTATTTTTATAACATTAATACAATCTATAAGAGGAAACACAAAAGATGAGTTGAAAGCCTCTAGTCAATTCAATGCATATTTATTGATCTAGGCTATACTAGATATAGAGAGAAATACAAGTATCAGATGGAATGCTTAGAGAGTTTTTCGGTAATTAAGGATATAAGACACAATTGCTTTTGAAAGTCATGGAAACCAAATAAAAGACATAGGAGAAATATCATCAAAACTAGAAACATACTTCCCATTGATAACTATGAAAATATCACAAAGATCTAGTGGACTTACTCTGAGAATATGCCAGCCAGGTTTGTGTTCACCATCCCCAGTGTTTTGAGTTAAGACAGAATTTTGTTTTGTAAAACTGTGGGGTTGCCAATGTTTTTAATCGTTTGATTAGGATTCCACAAGCACAGACTGACATTAAAAAGCTGTTAACTCTGTTAACTCCAGAGGGCACAGCTAATGAAATGTCCCCAAAGTTGAGCTCTTGCCAAAACATGGCATCACATAAGACAGCTCTCTATTAATCATGATGAGAGTAACCTCTATCTAAATGAAATCTGTAATTTAGGATGGAGATTAAAGATTCTTTGGGGGATGAAGGGAAAGTTGCTGTGAAAATTCTGGAAACTAGGAAATAAAGATAGGTCTACTCAATATTCATGCGGTCAGATTGGTGATGCAAACAGAGATTACAATCTTTTTTTCAAATGACTTGGCTTGTAACATTCCTATATCAGTTTTACACAGGATTCCCACTCAACATTAAAGGAATTACTGCAAATTGAACAATTTTTAAAAAGTGTATCTAGCATATCCAATAGGATTTTCTGCCATTTCTAATTTTAATTTTTTATCTAAGAATGTCTAATGTATATGATCAGAGATGCATGAATTTTTTAAAAGATATGTTATAGAATGCATAATAGACACACACACACACACACACACACACACACACACACGGTACTAATAATTGAACTTAACATGCATCAAATGCAACGTACTTTCAAAGGTTAGATTAGCCGGGCATAGATGGCTCACACCTGTAATCCTAGCTACTCAGGAGGCAGAGATCAGCAGGATCGAGGTTGAAGCCAACCTGGGCAAACAGTTCGCAAGACCCTGTCTTGAAAAAAATCCATCATAAAAATGGGCTGGTAGAGTGGCTCAAGGTGTAGTCCCCGCATTCAAACTCCAGCACTGCAAAAAAAAAAAAAAGTTAGATTAAAGAGAATAGCTATGAATACTGGTTTGGGTTTAATTTTGTTTTCTTAAGAAAGAAATCAAATTTCTTTAACAAACTTTTTATAAAGAAATGTTGCAGAATTTAACTCTCACCCAATTTAAAAGAAATCCTTACCTCATACCAAGCAAAAATCCTCACCTCCTATGCTGTTGTGTATACTTTCAGAGAAGATGAATGTAAATTCTATGCATGATTGTTTTATATCATATGTGATAACGCTGCAAACAAATATTTGAAGTGGGGGAAGGTAGGGAAGCCCTTAGCCATTTTATTTGATCCCCAGGAGTTGGCATGGAGACTGTATAGGTCCTCAGGAAATGCCTGTTGATTTCTGTTCTGAAGTGAATCTGTTTCTGGATATACTACTTATTACTTAAAACTTTTTCTATTTCTTTTTTAGGCCAGCCCTGCTCCTATAATTGTCAACACAGACACTTTGGACACCATTCCTTATGTAAGTAACATTTTTATTAAAACTTTCTTAACAAACTCTGGTAAAAGTTAATTAGCTGACTTTAAAACCCAACACACAATCAGTTCCACCCAGTCTAGATAATCTTATGAAATTATGTATAGAATTTTCTTTTGATATTTGATAAATCTTGGCTTAGTCATGCAAGTATTTTCCTTTTTCATCCAGACTTTGTAAAATTCAGGGCTCATCATGAGAAAAAAGCATAGATGATTCTGGTCAGATCATGTTATTTGTTAGGTGGTTCATTGGAAAGACACTGAATTGCTCATAGCATACATGGACAAACTTCTTCACATTTCTTTCTAAAGGAATACTCATATCAATGTCTGTGACACTGCCTAGAATGTAAATAATAAATATTTGATGGTTTGGGGGAGTCTTGTAACAAGAATTAGAGGAAATGTTTTGTGATGATAGAGTTTGTCTACAGTGAAATGTATGGATTCATGAAAATGTGAAACATAAGATAATAGGATCAGTTAGATTTATGAAGACTAGCATTCTGCAGCACAATCATCATGAGGGCCAAAGTTCTTAAGGATGAAAGCCTGGAAACTGGCAGTAGGTCACAAACAGGGTGAGTGGTTGACCTGGAGATCCATCAGGCCTTGTGAGCAAACCCTGGCTACTGTGTGGGGGATAGTGATCAGGAAAGATGTGACAACCACAGATCAATTCATAGACAGAGGGTGTGAAGCAGGGAAGAAGAGTTAACGAGAGAAGATTCCTGACCTTTGATTAGACTGGCAAAGCACGTGAAGTACTTTGAATAGTACTTGGCTAAATAGGTCCTTGGCAAGTACTGGCTATTCTGACTTAGACCCAGGACTAAAATTCCTTCAGGCACAAAGCAAATCACAGACACAAGCAGATAGAGAGTGGAGCCCATGAGGAACAGAAAGCACATATCCCCTCTAAAGGTGACAGCTGCCAGTTGGGTCTGTGTTGCCAGATCATCCCATTTTTCCAAAAAGTTGGAAATTTTTTGTTAATATTTGAATTTCTAAGTACTAGCTACTAGTTTTCAAAAGTTCAAATGTCATGACAGATAAAATGTGTTTAGGCCATAGGCTTCCTTTTGGGAGATGTCTACTTCAAAGACACTGGAGGTCCTGAGCAGATTCCACAAGCCAGGACTCAGCCACTGGAGAACAGAACACTAGAACTGGAGTGTAATGTTGCCACTTGATTACAGGAACAATTGACTAGAACTGGGACATAGGGTCAGGACAGGAATAACAGCAAATTTGACTTAATGCTGAATCACCTGAGCTACTAAACTAGAGCTTCCTAAATCTTTCTGAACAAGAATAGTTTGGGTTCAGAACAGAAATGGGGTTAAGCTTGCTGGTAGGAATCAAGCAGTCTCAGCTGTGGAAAAGCTCTGTAAAAGCAATGCATTGAAAGCACCTAGTGTCCACTCTACTGTCATTCTTCCTACCTTCTTTATCAAACATTTATATTGGGGTTACTATATGCATGCCTAACATTGTTTTAAGCGCTTAACAACTATTAACTCGTTTACTCCTCATAGCAATTCAAAACCTAGTCATAAAGAGATTAAGTAACTTGTTCAAAGACTCATAATAAGAAAGAGTGAATCTAGATAGTTTTACTATATTCTTTAAGGATATTTTAAATTTCTATTTTGTGGCTACTTACGATTTTTTCTGCTCTCCCTTATTTGTTGCCTCTCAGCTTGAGAACAAAGTGTACTTACTACCTTCCCTGCACATACAACTTCCCATAGAGGCTTTAATACCTGCAGGATAGGGACCCACATACAGTGTAAACTAACGAATCTTGTGTTCTGCACAAATCTCTTTACCACAACCACTGACAAAGCAGAACAGCAATGTTTTGTAGAAGTAGACTTGGAGCACAGAAGCTTAATTTTGCAAGTAGGACCACTTCCTTGTTGTGATCTGTGTTATTTCAAAGCCTCTGTTATGGTTCTTGTGGTTTACTCTCAGATGTGCCCATGTAGAAATCAGTTATCGATAATGTTTTATACAGACATGCTCACTTGGTACCCCAACTTTTTAGCTTCTAAAATGAGCCACACATAACAAGTCAAATTGCCCCATTCTCCTAAATCTCACCTTTGTAACTGACTTTGATTCTTGAACTTTTTCATACTTTCCTGCAATCCTCTTAAGAGTGAAGTCTTTGGAGAAAGATAGGCTGAGCAGTATAGTATGGTGAAAATATTCCAATTTTCATGGCAGTATGCTCCTAAGCAATTCATTTACTCTTTCTGGCCCTATATTTATCTATAAAACAGAAATTATAATGCCTACATCAGAGGTTGTTATGAAAGTTAAATGAGATTTTGTATCATGCTAGGTTAACTTCTGATTGATAGCAGTTTATGTATTTGCTTTTCCTAAAATAAAGATTTATGAAGTAACATGTTAAACTCTACAAAAATGGTAAATATGAATATCCCCCTCCATATAAAATAGTCATGAATACATTATCTATTGAAAATGGCAGATCCAGTGCACAGCCATTAAAGCATATATGCTTTGGTTCTTGGCATAGTCTCAATTCTCCCTTTTTTTCCTGACTCACTAGGTAACCTTGAACAAATCACTGTTCCTTTCACAGTCTATTTTCTCATTCCCCAGTGTTCTATACTTTGTTTTCCTCTTTTCTTTTTCATGTTCTACTTGTTCACATAATTTCAGCTCTATTTAATGAAAAAATGATTTCAGAGCTCCCCAGGGCATTTTAGTCATGTTGCATAAGAACATTTCCTTCTGAAAAAATATTACCTGAATGACAAATTTGAACTTATATATTAAAATCCTCCTCAAAAATAGTTTTGTTACAATCAATGTACTAATTTTGCTGATTATAAAATTTGATTTTAGATATAAATGGTTCTAATGGGAATGGTTCCTTGGCATACATGGAAAGGGCAATTAAATAACTAAAAGAAGTTCCTAGGGATAAAGGAATTTTTACGGAAGTGTCTAATAAAGGTATAAAGGATTTTTAAGGTGACTCTTACTTTTTAAAGAAAGGTGTATTAAAGGACATTAGAGCTCTGCCATTAATGATGAGGTCACTGAGGTTCTTCTATGTTAGTGCCTCAGGTAAGCTGAGTCATACATGATACTATGATATTTATGGTTGAGTAGTACATTGGATGTGGCATAGTCCAGCATCTAATGCAAAGCATAAATCTCCTCCTTGAAAATTAAAATCATACAAGGAGATGCAAGAGGAGAGATAGAGAGCATTTTCCCATTTTTAAAACTCTAGTTTCTATTTTCACTCAGTCTTTATATTCTTCTTCATTATACTTCGAACTTTTATGCCAAGAACTGAAAATATTATACTCTCAGGGAATTCAGAGTACAGCCTACCTGTGACCTATATGTCCAGCTCTCAAATGGTAACATGTCATCCTCCTGGAACTGTGCAGCCAATTGCATGTACTTCATCTTACAACATACTTCTTTTTTTATAGTAGACATGTCAGAGTTATATAGTGAACTCTGTCCAAGCAGATTCAATTCTTTCTGCTTTATAAAAATAAAATTAATCAGAGAGATTGTAGCATGCTTTTTTTCCTTCAACGTTCTCTAGTATTCATTTCATAGTTTGGTAATTTTCTGACCTATTTTCAACAAGTATACTGGGGGAGTGGTATACTTGAGAATCCTGCCTTTTAAATTTCATTAAGTAACTTGGAGTCAACTAATGCAAACTTCCTACTATATAGATACAGTTGTTCTAGTTCAACTCTCAAATGGTTAAGGTTGGTCTACCATTTACCATTGCTCCATGTAAGAATGAATTTTGAGTATATAACATGCAACCATGAAGTCAGTGACATATAACAAGAAGCACTATCACTCCTGTACATATTTCCTGGTTGGCTAGGCCAGTTGCTTCGGCTGTGAAACATCAGGCTGGCTGGAGCGTCTCTGCTTTGAGTGTTTCATTCTGAGTTTCGGGAGGTGGGACAGTGGTTTCCCTGCTGTTAGTCAAGCTGTGATGACCAAAGTACGAAAGTGCAAGTCCATATATACAGGCACAGGTGTTAGTTCAGTTACACCTGATTGACCAGAACAAGTGTTTCTGTCAAGCTCAAAGTAGAGAAAGGAGTGGACACCTGTTGAACGGTAAACTAAAGTACCAAGGCCTTAAAAGGGCTAAATATATCCCATTTTAAGGACAAAAAAAGATTCAAATGCAGGAATCTTATACTTTAAAAGTATTGATATGTTAGTGACACTAAACAAAGTGAGAAGAATGATCGTGTAAATAAGTCCAGAAGTTCTAGGACTGTTGCTTGGAAAACCTCCCAGAAAGTGAAAGAGAGAGGGAAGTAGAAGAAAAGGAGAAAAGAAGGAAGAATTGGGTATCAAAGAATATCACAGAGTCCTTAGTAGTGTCACTCATTGAATTTAGCTGCCAATAAGATTATGTCAGTTACTTGAAAACGATCATAATACCATTGTAATATCAGCAGTGAGATTTGTATAGAGTGCTTCAGGTGTGATGCAAACTCAGCAATGGCTCCGAAGCAGAGGACAAGAAGTGATCTAATGCCAAACACCTGGCCCCAAAGCAAGGCTGGCAGTGAGAAAGAGCATAAGAGAGGAGGATGAGAGAAGGGAAGGAAACCTAGTGTTTAGCAATTGCATTAGCACTGAGGCTCATTTGGGAGCCAGAGGACGGACTAGAGTCTGAGGGGTTCTGTTAAGCAATGTTGAAATGATACTTCTGACTGATTCTAGCAGTGGGAAGCTGAGGATAAGAGCTCTCTGTGGAGGAAGTTGCTATATTACAGAAGTGAGATGACCAAGCACTTGCTCTGGAGTGGTTAGTTAGCCATTAATTTCTTTGAGTCACTATGTGCAATAACAGACCTTGTGATTAACACTACCGTTCACTTTTAATTGGATGGATTTAGAACATTGCCTGTGATGGAAAATGAAGCAGAACCATCCTAGAAATGATTA